TTAACTGAACAATTATTCATCTTTCCCATTATTACCTCATTATACCACACTAGTCATACATAAGTTGGTAAAAGTTCATTTGTAAACTAAGTTTTATAAATCAAAATAAGTTTTATTGGTTGAAATGTAGTTTAGCGTAATTTGTCAAGAGCATGGACTCCGGAGTTAGGCTTCCTGGTTCAAATCAACGTTTTACTATTTGCTATAATGGCAATTTTTGGTGTTAGGAACCTCTGGGTCTCAGTTTCCCCATCTATAAAAGGGACTAACAGTATCCTCACAGGGCTGTGGGAGGAGTAAATGAAATGGTATGTGGAAGTACTCAGGAGAATGCCTGGTACACATATGAGCATTCGCTATTATCAATGGCATTATTAAAGCATCTCCGAAACTATAATATATTAATGTTAGCACTTTTTACGATTAAGAATTTCTTTCCTCCAGTTTCCTGAAAACCTTAAATGCACCAGGAAAACTCAATGTTTGAAGGAACACTGTGGCAGTTTAATAAACATCTATTACTAATTGATTCATTTATATATTAGGTCCCTTTAAAGTCAGATTAAGGTAAGGATAGAACTGGGAATACATTCTTTCACAGCACATAACTTCATAATGTTAAATAATAGCCAAATGATACCATTTCACATATACAACTATGTCCTACTCTAGTGTAGCAATGAATAAATGGTTGTTGCTATTTATCTCAAAAATTCCCAAGAGAAGTGAATCTTACTGAGAAAATTATTAGTTCAGTTTTGGATATACTAAGTTTGAGGTGCTAACAGAATACTTAATGGACATTCAGGAAGCAGTCAAAAGTACAGACTTAGGGGCTTCCCTGGGCGCAGTGGTTGAGAGTCCGCCTGCCGATGCAGAGGACACGGGTTCGTGCCCCGGTCCGGGAAGATCCCACATGCCGCGCAGCGGCTGGGCCCGTGAGCCATGGCCGCAGAGCCTGCGCGTCCGGAGCCTGTGCTCCGCAATGGGAGAGGCCACAACAGTGAGAGGCCCGCATTCCGCAAAAAAAAAAAAAAAAAAAAAAGTACAGACCTAAAGTTAGGAAGCTTACACTCAGAAGTTCATCACTCCCTCCTCTGTATTACCATGGAATTTTTCACATCCTATTACATGACAATTTTTAGTCTCCACAACCATTCTCTACTGCTAGACTATCCTGAAGGCATTTAGGTCCTGCTATATAAGCGCTTAATAATGTTGATTTTTTTTAAAAAAAAAATGCAAAACTTGCAGAATAGTACAACTAAGAGAGTGAATTTTATTGTTTATAATAAACTCTGATTTAGATTTTTTTTTTCAATCTGTGGATTTTAAATAAGGATGAAATTTTCATTTGGAAGTATCCTTATAAAATATAAGTAGCATACAGACAAAATCCTTTTTTTTTTTTTAAATTTGGTCACATGAGAATTACTAAACGCTACCAAGCAGTGAAACCTGACATTATCACCAGGCCTATAAACCTGCAAAAGTACATTATAACGAGGCAAAGAAATTTATAAATGAGTAAAATAAGGAAAAGAAAGTCCAGTGAAGATTCCTTGAAGTGAGTTTAAATTAATTTAAATTCTTAAGAAGTCTGTCAAAATACCTGCAATGTAGATTGACAAGATTTCACTTTCTAATTTACAGGCTACTTGAGTTCAATAACTTAAAAATGAAAAGCCTCTGGACCCTTCCAGCACATGTTATTCTAAGAGCTATGATAAGGAGCATGTAGCAAACGTGCTCAGTTACATGCACTAGGTAAGGGAAAGATGCTGTCCTCCGCAACCCACCAGCAACTGTCTGACCACCAATCCTTTAGTTTAAAATTTGTAGAAGCGTTTCCTAGAGAATGCTGCAGTTGTAGTATTTCTCACCCAAACTTAAAATGTGGTCAGTCCCATCAAGGCTCTAATAGAAGAACAAACCGGCTGCCAGTTCTATATTTAATAGCAGATCCTGACAATTCCATTTGTGCCTGACAACTAGATGCCTTTCAGTGAAGCCATTCCCTGGAAATGACACTACAATACTGTTACTTATTTAGCGGGCATGGAGCCAAGAAAAACCAGCTCATTAGTGGTGAATGAGTAGGGAAGACAGTAGCCAGAGGATTAAAAAACAGCAATATACCACACAAACAGGCTTAGAACTGTGAAAATGCAGGAGAAAAAAAGTGGAGATCCACAGAATGAAATTCCTACAACACAAAATTAACAGAGACTTAAGTCTGCACTTTCTCATTTAAAATCACATAAGCAAGGATCAAATGCATATTGATTCTAATTTTATATAAAAGCCTGAAAACTTCATGCCAATAGAAAATATTGGTAAATAAAAAAAGGACTCCCCTAATCTTGGCCCTATTTTCCTGTTCTATGAAGCAATTCATAAGAAGAAAAAATAACTTCAGACTATAAATGATGAATGTGTAACTATTAGGAGTGGCCTCTCTATGAGGTCTGAAATAGAAGGAAAATGTACATTTCTTCCAAAGCTGTGGCCAACAATAACTTTCGCATTCTGAATCTAGCTTAAGCACATTAGTTGGGAAGATGTTTGCAAAAGCATTTCATAAGAAAGTGCTGAAGTTAGCTTTTATTTTATTTTTTTCTGTTTTCTTAAGTGGCCTGCAGTCTATCCAATCAATGTGCTACGTAGAACCTCTCCTAAGTATAAATGACAAAAGGAAATACAGCTTTCTTCTTACAGAGAACTGTTTCTATAGATCAGGGGTCATCAAACTTTCTGTAAAGGGCCCATATAGTAAATATTTTCAGCTTTACAGGCCATATGGTGTCAGTCACAAATACTCAACTCTGCCATGTAGCATGAAAGCAGCAATAGATAACAGATAAATAATGAGTGTGACTGTGGTCCAATAAAATCTTATTTTCAGAAACAAGCAGCCAGTCTATGGCCACAGTTTGCTGACCTCTGCTATAAAGCATGCTTTTTTTACCTACTAATAAATACGTTGTTTTAATAAATAACACCAAATTTGAAATATGATGTCTGAGGTTTGCTTTAAAATATTTCATTAAAAAAAAAGTGAAGAGCAGAGAGAAAGGTTAAAGAAGACTGGCAAGGGGCTTCCCTGGTGGCACAGTGGTTAAGAATCCACCTGCCAATGCAGGGGACACAGGTTCGAGCCCTGGTCCAGGAAGATCCCACATGCCACAGAGCAACTAAGCCCATGCACCACAACTACTGAGCCTGCGCTCTAGAGCCCGCAGGTCACAACTACTGAAGCCCGCTCACCACAACTACTGAAGCCTGGGCACCTAGAGCCCGTGCTCCCAACAAGAGAAGCCACTGCAATGAGAAGCCCACACACTGCTATGAAGAGTAGTCCCTGCTCGACGCAACTTGAGAAAGCCCGCGCACAGCAACGAAGACCCAGCTCAGCCAAAAATAAAATAAAATAAAGTAAATAAATTAAAAAAAAAAAAGATTGGCAAAACACAATTAGCGTTAGTCTGATTATGGATGCATGGAGTTCATTATACTATTACAATAATTTTATGAGTTTGAAATTTTCAAAATTAAAAGTTTTTAAAAATACAAGGTAGATCAATGAATTGGCTCTACAGGAAAATTAATTTCCTCACTTTACTACAAACATTCTAAAACATATCTAGTATTTTTAAACATAATCAACATAGTACAACATAAAAGTTTAACATAAAGATACTAAACCAAAGCTAAAAAATTTAAATGTACAAAAGTGTATACAAGCATAAACCCTTAACATTTTCCATAATTTAACAGACAGCCTCACCTCATACAACTCCTAAATTAACACATTTTATTAGTCTCATCTTAGCTAACAAAATGTGTTACCAATTTTTGGTTTTAGAATATAATTATTTTACAGGGTATATATCACTTAACATATCATAGGTTTATTATTTTTTCAAATAAATTAGTAAATAATTTTTATTTCTCAGTTTTAAACTCTAAGCAATAAATATGAATAGAAACAATTCACATAAACAAACGCTGTTTAAGGTCTTCAATAATTAAGAGTATAAAGGGATCCTGAGGCCAAAGTTTGAGAACCTGTGACCTGAACGTTTTTGATGTTGTTTAAAGTACGTTTACCAAGCAACCATTAGATACATGCTCAAACTCATTTTTCCTTTGAACAATAATCATCACAAAGTGGAGTTAATCCACTATGAAGGCTATCAATATACACCCATTTAAACCTTCAACAGAAACATTCTTTTAAAATTGCTGGGTATGTCATGAATAATGTATCCATAGGAAAAGAAGAGCTCTAATGTGTTGTCCCCCTTATGCAGAAAATTGTCTCCTGGACCAATAATAAAGAAAAACTAATATGCACCAGCAGACATTTCTAATAAATATGCTACCTCTCATCAATCAAGATATGCAGTCTCACTCAATGAAAGAAGCCAGAAATCAAGCTGAAAAGAGCTTTAGGAAAGAAATGTTAATGACTATGCAATTTCTCAAAAACTAAATAAATGTGTTTTTTAAATGTCCTAAGTTTTTTCTCAAGTTCTGAAACACAGTGATTTCAAATATTATCAAAACTGAAAACTACATTAGGCTCACAGAATTATTATGACTGACACTTGAGAAAAACTGAGAACTCTGTGAAAATATTTCCAACTATCCAAGAATATAATCAATGTCAAAATTTTCTAAATCTAAAACTAAAATAGCAATAAGCAATCCATAACACAGATTTGGGCAGATAATAATCAGAGCACAAATGTCTACATGAGTACTCATTCTTTTATGAAGATGAACCAATACTTACTTTTTGAATACAATATCACTGTAGCATTTTTAACCAATTTGTCCCTTCCGTATATGGCTATTTAAAATGTTATCAGACTATTTCATTTTTACCTAAGTACAAATTTCCAAGTTAAGTTTTATAAATCTCGTTATTTCTATTGTCTTTTATCAACATGAATAAACTTAAAATAGTAATAACTGAGATACAGAGCCATACTTACATCATACTCTGTAATTCTGCTGCAAAGCTTACAGACTTCCCTGTACTTCTTCCACTACTTGAAGTGGCAGTAGACATTGGGCTGGCTGCAGTGTTGTTCATCTAAATAAAAAAGAGAACTCAGCTTACAAATTGTACTTAGCTATAAGTAAATGCATGGAAAACGGAAGGAATATAAGTTACTTCAAAAAGTATAGAAATTCTGATTTGTTTTAGGTAAATCTGATTTGTCCATACTTGTTCTTTATTAAAATGAAATAGTAAGGTAGAAAACTGCTTAGTCAAATATGATGTAAAAAAATTACTCACTTGGGTGATAAACTTTTCATTACATATTTTGTAATAAGTATTGGAAGAAAAATACTCATTAAAATATTTTAATAAAGTTCAGTGGTTTTCAAAATCCATTCCATGGAGCCCAAAGATTCCCCAGCAATATTTCAGTGAGCTCCCAGTGGCCCCCAAGCAGTTCCATCCAGAACACAAGAACTCTGATTTTTCTATTTCATATATTGGGGTTCCAAGTAAGATTTCATTTAAAGAAAGAGCTGCACAGTTGTAAGACACAAAATTAGAAAACCAAAACATAATCTAATTCCCATTTGAACCATAGCCTAAAATACAAATAATACAAATAAAGCCAATCAGTAGGTCAGAAGTAAGCATTGTGATATTTTATAATCTTATGGTTAAATTACTCATCAATTTAAAATGTGACTTTTAAAAAAATAAAATAAAATGTGACTTTTTTCCCAATAAAATTAAGCTGGCGCATAATGGGAAAACTAGATGCTAATCCTAATATACGTCATTTTATTTATTACATGTGGCAGTCCCACAAACAAGAATTAGTGAAAATAACATTAAGGTAATAGAAGTAGATAAAAGCCTCAGGCTTTTACCTCAAGGACACAGTAAGTGCTCAATAAATGTTAGTTATTATTTCATGTTTATATAAATTTTGTAATACTACGATTTTCTTTAAAAAATACTTTGCTGATTAAAGAAGAATTAACAGATTTAAAATATATAATAAAGTAAAGCAGTACTGAGAACTTTAAGTACAGTAAAATAATTAGGAGTCAGAAGCCAGACTGCCTAGGTTAGAATCCCAGCTCTACTACTTTACTAGGGCTCGGGGCAAGTTCCTTAACGTCTCTGTGCCTCAGTTTCCTCGTCTGTAAAACAGGAATGATAATCGCACACTCTTAGGGTTGTTGTGAGGATTAAATGAACTAACATAAACAAAGCATTCAGAATAGTTCTTAGCACACAGTCAGTACACAATGTTAACTATTATAAACAGAAAGAACTCAAGAATTTTCCCTTTCTTGGTCTGCTAAAAGCTTTTATGTGACAGATTTGATTATCCTTATTTCATAACCACAAACTTTAAGAAACTTGAATATTTTCACTACAAGACCTCAATACAATTCAACAAATATTAATTAGTTTCCCTATAAAATAAGTTCTGTTTTCACACCGACATCACTACTGCTACTAGTCAGCCTGGCTTAAAACCTCAATCATCTTTGACTCCTTCTCCTGAACCCTATAATTTGTAAGAAGCCAAATAAATTCTACTTTATGTTTTTACCTCCTCCCTTTCTTGTTGAGCTCTATTTATAGCTTCTCTCTTTGCAGCTCAGTTCATTCTCCCCACTGCTATCAAATTTATCTTCTTAATACATCCTCTAAACTGACCACTTCTGTGGGCAATGGAGGCTTAAAATTGATAAAGGAAACTTGAACCAGGGTCATTCACTGATGGCTGAGATGGAAAGGCTGGGTCCCATGAATGAAAGCTGAAAAAATTAACTACTACAAACCACTGCCTGAGATGGGCCACATATGAAGCTTTTGAGAAGGCAAAAGGACAGAGACCTAAGACAAGCAGCACACTAGCTGGGTGGCTAGATCTGGAATGTCCCAATATCATTCTGTGGCAGGACCAACTCTCTGCCAATATAAGCCCTGGTCTAACCTAAGGTCCCTAGGAGCCAGGCGAAAACCACTAGACAGAGACTGCAAAAGCAGAGAAAGAGAAGGAAGAAAGTTTCACTCAAACTGAACCTGAAAACCAAAGTTCTAAAACACATAAAGAAGCTAGTGCTATGAAAGACCATCGGTCTTTTTAAGCGTAAATTTGTCCTATTTGTTCACAAAGACTTTTTTGGAATAAGTACTTTTTTCTACAAATAATAGAGGAAAAGAAGCAACACCATTTGGAACTCAGGTTTAAAAAAAAAAAAATCGCATCATCAGTCCAAGATTGGGGAATAATAAAACAGCAAAGCAAGTTCAAAAAGGAACTTGGCTTTCCAGTGACCTTAGAAAATGGTTCACTTGTCCCAAGAGAAGACTGACAGAGATATGACATCCTGGAGAAGATGTTAAACTCAAAGATTATTTATTAACCCCAGTCTATGATTTAAGTTGACTCATGTCAGATTTGAAGGCAGGCCATTCTTGGGATTATCCTGAGACATTGATGGAGTTATTGCCCTCTTTCATTCTGCAAATCCAGTCACCTTGCTTTAACACTCTCTGAAGAAAAGACATTTCAGAAAGTAAATGCATACTAAATCCCCAGCTTTCTTAGGTTGTGCCCCTACTGCAAATGTTTTGTATCAAGAGTGTTTACTGGTAAGAGTGAAAAGATCCCAATGCTAGTTTATTATAACCACGATCATCCTTTCACAGTCAAGTTATTTACTTCTTAAATCAAACAGGTGAATAACATTTTTCTTGGCATCATGAGCTGACAGTGCATTAGAATCTTTAAAATAATTATTTCCTGTGCACACATTTTGTTTGATGTTTTAGATAATTAACTTCTTTAGACATTAACTTCTTTACACATCAAAGTCCTATCATTCCAATGCTTTATTTCCTATCTCCCGGACATTTAAAAAAAAAAATGTCGCTTAAAAGCAGAAGCACTCAAGTCAATTTTCTCTAATAAATACAGTTAACATGGAACTGAAAACCTACTGTAATCTTCTCAATGGGTTAATGTCCTGCAGTTGTTTTAGCTTTCAATTGAAATGCAGCTGTTTGCCATATTTTACAAAATGAATTCAGATGTGCAGATGGAGACCCAGATTATTTCAACATGCCACAGTTTAAATGTGAACCCAAGGAATAAGTTCATCTCTGATTAATACTTATATTTAAACCTGATTATTAAGCCAGTAGCCAATACTATGTCACACCTGTAAAATTCTGTTCCAGAGTAGAAAAACTGACATCTTTTAATAACAATAATGAGATTTAAGGATATACCCCTTTTCTCAGAAAATACCACGACAAAAAAATTTTAACTGTAGTAAAGTTATACATCACAAATGTGAATTAAACAAAAATGTAATGAACATGTTACTGCATTTCTATTTATAGCTCTTTTTTTTTTTTTTTTTTTTTTTTTGGGTACTCT